GAGACGGGGTTTCTCCATGTTGGTCAGGCTGGTCTCGAACTCCTGACCTCAGGTGATCCACCCGCCTCAGCCTCCCAAAGTGCTGGGATTACAGGCATGAGCCACCGCGCCCGGCTGTTTTCTTTTTTCAAATAGAGGTGGAGCCTCCCTGTGTTGCCCAGGCTGGTCTTGCACTTCTGGCTTCAAGGGATCCTCCTGCCTCGGCTTCCCAAAGTGTTAGGATTACAGGCATGAGCCACTGTGCCCGGCCAAAAAGAAGAGTTTTTAAAAAGCACACAGTTTAGTTATAAATATTTTACGGTCACATCTAAATAAGGAGAGAACTGTATTTCTTCAGGGATTTGGCCTGTCCAAAATCAGCCACTAGGAGGAGCACTCCAGAAGAGGGAAAATTATTTTATTTTTATTTTTTGAAACGGTGTCTCACTCTGTCACCCAGGCTGGAGTGCAGTGGCGCGATCTCCGCTCACTGCAACCTCCACCTTCCTGGTTCAAGCAATTCTCCTGCCTCAGCCTCCCGAATAGAGACGGGATTTCACCATGTTGGCCAGGCTGATCTCACACTCCTCTCCTCAAGTGGTCCGCTCGCCTCGGGCTCCTAAAATGCTGAGATTACAGGAGTGAGCCAACTTGCCTGACCGGGGAAATTTTTTAAAAGGGCAGAGTTTATCACATCTAGCCAATAGTAATACCTCCTCCCTTCTCCACTATCTGCTGTTCCTTGCGAGATTTGTCCCTTTAATTCAAAATCCTCTCACCCTTTGCCTCCTGTGGTCCAATACAGCATCTTCATACATGTTGCTTACCTAGAAGGCGTGGCTCCACTGTGAATTCTGATTGGTCCGTGCTATCGAGACACTGTCCCTTTATTGGCTCTCGCTCCAGTGGCCCCCGCTGCTTTTCTTCCTCCTCCAGCAAGGGCTCTTCAGGCCCAGAGTTCGAATCTCGCGATCGGGATGGGGATGGAGTTCCTGCCTGGGGTGTCCCAGAGCCCGGACTGAGCTGGGGAGTCAAGACCTCGGGCGGTGACGGCTGAGCAAGTTGGAGTCGTAGGTCCAGTTCTGGCACGGTAGAAAGAGAAGGCTGTGAGCTTCCTTCTTGGAGGTGCCCTGAGAAGAAACCACCCACCCCTCTTGACTTCAGTCCCAGCACCTCGGACATCTCACCTTCCCCAGCTTCTTCCGCCTCCAATCCTTCAGGTTCTTCCGGTTCTTCGTCTTCCAGCGGGGTAGAGCTGCTGGTGGAAGAGTCCTCCCCGGATCCCACTCCCCGGGCTGCCACCCAGCCCAGCTGGTCCAACCGAAGCCTCAGGTCTTCCACAGGGCGCTCGGATGGAGGGGCGGTGTCAGGGTCACCCCGGCGTCCAGGCTCCGGGGATTGGCTCAGGCTGGGGATGCTCTCCAAGCTGTCGCCCAGGCTGGGCTGAGGGTGCTGGTCTCGTGGTTCCGAGACTGAGCGGCCCTGGGGGCGGGGGCGGCGGGCAGTTGAATCCCTGCGACCTCCAGAACCCACTACGCCATCGAAGGCGATGTAGGAGAAGGTCAGCTCCCGGGGGGTGCCCCAGTCCTGCGACGTAGTCTCCTCCTCGTCGTCCTCTGAGAATTCCCGGGCTGTGTGCAGCTCCCGAAAATCGGAGTCGTCGTTCCCTCCTGCAGCAGGTGAGGGAGAACCTTGTTTCTCTCAGCAGGCCCCTAAGCTGCCCACCCCTGAATCCCTTCACATGCTCTCCTCCACTTACCTTCTGTGGAATCAGGGGTTGATGAGGCTGTAGACGGAGCTTCTTCTGCGAGAGGGAAAGAATCGAAGACTCTTAGAAGCTTAGACTGTCCGAATCACAGAAGTGTGCCAGTCCTGGAATCTTAGAATATTTGAATCACGGGACTTTTAGAACATTCTGCACACAGACTTTAAAACCTAGCATCACTGCCTGGTGAAGCTTAGAGTCTTAGAAGTCCAAATCCGGGAATCTTAGTCTTCAAAGTAGGAATCTTAGGAGGTTTCAATTCACTTATTCGTTCAACAACCATTTATTGAGCACCACTATGTGCCAGGCACTGTTCTAGGTCCTGGAGATACAGCTGTGAACAAAACATACAAAATCCCTGCCCTCCTAGAGCTGACACTCTTTGGGAGAGACAGACAATAAACAAGTGATTATATGATGTCAGGTGCAGATGAGCCTACGGTGCAAAGTAAAGAAAGGTAGGGGAAGATAAAGTGAAGAAAGTGAAGCGGTGCTGTTTCTCATAGGGTGGTCAGGAAGGCTTCTCTGATAAGACAAAGTTTGAGCAGAGATCTGAAGGAAGTGAGGAAGCCCTGCAGATGTTCAGGGAAGTCTTCCAGGTAGAGAAGGAAGCCAATGCAAAGGCCCTGAATCAGGCATCATGCTTGGCATCTTTGAGGAACAGAGAGGTGTGAAGATGTGATTGGAGAGGCGTGAATGAGGAGGAGAGGGTTGGGAGGTGAGGGCAGAGAGGTAAGAGGGGTGGAGAGAGACAGATGAGATGGCCCTCCCTTTGTAAGCTGAAGTAAGGACAAGATCTTAGCATGTTGAGATGATACTCGAAAATGCTGAAATCACCAATTCTTAGAATTTTGGCATCTGGACACCCAAGACACGAAAGTGGCTAGATCTAAGGGTGTTGAAATTCCCAGCTGTCAGAACACCCATGTGTGGGACAGAGAACGGCAGACATGAACTGTTAGAGCTGTGAGCTCAGAGATTGTGAGGATCAGGCCAGGCGTTTTCAGCTGGGAATCCAGCCCCTTAGAGCTAGTTCAGCGCTTTGCACATAGATGATGCTCAATGCGGTTTGGAAATTGAAATCTGACACCCTGTGCCCTCACCTCGTTTCCTCAGCTGGGGAATGGGAGGCCTGGAGTGGTGCCAGTCTTCCCCAGGATTACCATTATCAGTGGTAAACCCCGCTAAGGACCCATCAGTCCTTGCCCCCAACCCACCGATGGCTATTTTCCCGGCACAGGGGGTTGGACAGTTTGGGCGAGGTCGGGGCTGCCTCTTGGGCAGAAAACGAGGATGGGATGAGAAGACGAGCGATGGGGAGTCAGACCCCTCTTTTCCATCCTGGCTTTATCCTCCGTTCAATCCCTCCCCGCCAGCTGCGGCCAGCACCAGAGCCAGGGGACAGCTCCCCGCGCACGTCCTCGTTCCCGGGCGGGGCCGGGCGGTACGTCCCAGAGCGCAGCGCACCCCCCACTTGCCTTCTCAGTGCCCCCCACCTCCGCCCTGTTTCGTCCAGGTCCTCTGGGTCAGGCTGCCCCCGTCACCGCCAGAGCGGGGGGGAGGGGAGAGTTTCCTTTGTCTCCTTTGCCTCCTCCCCCCAATCCCGGCTCTCCTGCAGGCAAGCGCCGAGGGGACACCAGGGAGTACCCCACCCAGACCTCTGGGGCCCACACCAGGCCCAAGCCTCCCTCTACTCACTGCAGTGGGCGAAGACCGGCAGGACCTGCCCCATGGCCCCCCTCGGGCCTGCATCGGGACCCCAGCCCACTCCGGCTGCGCCGCCCTGGGCCCGGGGTCGCAGGCGCTCATCTCCGCCGCGCCCACGACGCCGCTGCCATCCTCGCCGCCTCCTCCTCCCGGGCCGCTCCAGCCGCCGCCGCCGCCGCCGCCGCCCTGTGCTCGGCTCGGCGGGGGCGGGCGGGGCCGCGGTGGGGAAGGCACTGCAGCGCGCGACCGGGGGCGTGGCCAGAGGAGGGAAGGGGCGTGGCCAGAGGGCGGGTGAGGGGCGGGGAAACGCCGAGGAGCAGGCGGAGGGGCGTGGCCTACTCACTAAAGGGGCGGAGCCACAAGGGTGGGCTACGGGATCAGGAAGGAGTGAAAAGAGGCCTGAAGGGCGGGGCCTAGACCGCACAGGGCGCAGCCTTTAGGGGAAGAGGGGCGGAGGCCTGGAGTCGGACGAGGGACTTAGGAGAGGATGGTGAAGGAGCCTTGGCAGAGAGGATGGGAGGGTGGATCCCTGAGTGGGTTGGGGCGGAGCTAGGGGTGCCATTGAGGAGGGGGTGGAAAGATTCTAATGCTCTGAGGTAGGGTAGGAGCCTAGATTTGCAGAGGGAGTGAGAAAGGGGGCCGAAAGAAACTATTCAGAAACTTTTGAAGCACGCGTAGGAGCTCAAACATGGGCGAGGCTAAAGCAACTGGGAATTATTCAAATATGACTAGGTGGGGTCAGAACTCCAGGCGATGCCAGGTCTCCGAAAATTAGACGGGTCTGGAGCTGTGTGCTTGAACCCTGGATGGGTGGGGTCCAGAAGATAAAATAACCAAAGCCCCAGAGAGGAGGGGTCGAACTAAAAAGAGTAAAGAAAAAACAAATATATATATAGCTTTTTCAGACAGGGTCTCGCTCTGTCGCCTAGGCTGGATAGAGTGCAATGGTGCGATCACGGCCTCGACCTCCCGGGCTCAGGTGATCCTCCCACCTAAGTCATCCGAGTAGCTGGTATCACAGGCGCATTCCACCACGCCCGGCTAAATTTTAATTTTTGTAGAGACGGGGTCTCGCTGTTTCCCAGGCTGGTCTCAAACTCCTGGGCTTAAGCGATCCGCCTGCCTCGGCCTCCCTAAGTGATGGGGTTACAGGCATGAGCCATGCGCTCAGCCAAGTATAGTATTTACAGGTTTTGAGGCTGGGGACTGTACCACTGAGGTGGGAGGAGCTTGGACTGCGTGTTGTGTTGAGAACACAGATTCCAGAGTTAATTTCCCTGGAACACCGGTTACTTCTGTGACTCCGTTTCTTCTTCCATCTGTAAACTGGAGATGATGATGTATAACTGTGTGACACATGATGAGTGCTACGTAATAGTTTGCTACTGGTACAGTATTACCTTTTTTTTTTTTCCTAATCCAGATCCCAAACCTCGCTTTGTAGGTGCAGGTGCAGGAGAGAGGAGACCCAGAAGTGAAATACCTTCTAGTGACCCGCCTAAAGTGCAGGTCAAAGGACAGGAAGGAGATTTAGGTGGTTTAAAATCTCACAGCCGAGGGGATTAATGGAGGGGGGCGGGCAGGTGTGCAGGGTGGAGCCCTCCTGATCCCAGGGCTGAAGGATGGCGGCCCTGGCTCGTCAGCTGCAGAGTCTCCTCTGGACAGCTTGCAAGAAAAAAGAGTGGGAGAAGGAAGCGGAGGAGGAGGAGGAGGAGGCGGGGCGCAGGGCCCCCGATGGGCCTCGGTCTCTGCTGACAGCGCCGCGGCGCGCCCAGCAGCCGCACGGGGGTGCCGCGGCGTCGTGGGGCCTGCGCTTTGGGGCGAGCGCAGCGCAGGGCTGGCGCGCGCGCATGGAGGACGCTCACTGCACTTGGCTTTCGTTACCTGGTCTGCCCCCAGGCTGGGCCTTCTTTGCAGTCCTCGACGGCCACGGTGGGGCTCGAGCTGCCCGCTTCGGTGCACGCCACTTGCCAGGCCATGTGCTCGAGGAGCTGGGCCCGGAGCCTGGCGAGCCCGAGGGCGTGCGCGAGGCGTTGCGCCGAGCCTTCTTGAGCGCCGACGAGCGCCTGCGCTCCCTCTGGCCCCACGTGGAAACGGGCGGCTCCACGGCCGTGGCATTGCTGGTCTCCCCGCGGTTCCTGTACCTGGCGCACTGCGGTGACTCCCGCGCCGTGCTGAGCCGCGCCGGCGCCGTGGCCTTCAGCACCGAGGACCACCGGCCCCTTCGACCTCGGGAACGCGAGCGCATCCATGCCGCGGGCGGCACCATCCGCCGCCGGCGCGTCGAGGGCTCTTTGGCGGTGTCGCGAGCGTTGGGCGACTTTGCCTACAAGCAGGCTCCAGGGAGGCCCCCCGAGCTACAACTCGTTTCTGCGGAGCCTGAGGTGACCGCACTGGTACGCCAGGCGGAGGACGAGTTCATGCTCCTGGCCTCTGATGGCGTCTGGGACACTATGTCTGGTGCTGCCCTGGCGGGAATGGTGGCTTCGCGTCTCCGCCTGGGCCTGGCCCCAGAGCTTCTCTGCGCGCAGCTGTTGGACACGTGTCTGTGCAAGGTCCTGGGGGTGGGGCGTGGTATCTTTGAGGCTTGGTGCCTCTGCGGGAGAGAGCCTCGGGATATGGGGGAGGAGGGCTTTGATGGAGAGGCAAGAGTAAAGCTGGAGAAGGAAGGGGTGGGTCTCAAGCGAAGGGCGTGGCCTGAAGTGGGCAGGGTCAAAATACAGGGGGCGGAGCCTGAGGTATGCTTTGAGGCACCAGCCCAGAGTTAGCGGAAAGGGTTTAAGAGAAAGGGCGTGGGCTTTTGGAATGGAGGGGTTCTAGGTCATAGGAGCGGGGCCTGAAATATGATTAGTACTGGAAGGTGGAAGAGCAGATAAACATCAGAGCGGGCAGAGCTGTAGGGAAAGGGCACTGTTCTCTCAATAAGGAGGGCCTAGAATAGGACATGGTTAGGCCCCAGTAGGAGAGGACTGGCAGGTGGGTGAGACGAGACAAATGGGCATAACCAGATTAAAGTGGGGGACTTGAACCTGGGGATTGCTGGGAAGCTCTGCCTTCGGCTCTCCCCCATCGGTCTCCGTTTTCTCCACCGGCTTCAGGGCAGCCTGGACAACATGACCTGCATCCTGGTCTGCTTCACTGGGGCTCCTAGGCCTTCTGAGGAGGCGATCAGGAGGGAGCTAGCACTGGACGCAGCCCTGGGCCGTAGAATCGCTGGTGAGCAGGCTCCGGGGGCCCAGCTGGAGGGGTGGTTGGCCTGCGAGGGCTCTTCCAGAACTTTTTTTTTTGAGACAGAATCTCACTCTGTCGCCCAGACTGGAGTGCAGTGGCACAATCTGGGCTCACTGCAATCTCCGTCTTCCCAGGTTCAAGCAATTCTCTGGCTTCGGCCTCCAGGTAGCTGGGATTACAGGCATGCACCACCACACCCAGCTAATTTTTGTATTTTGAGATGGGGTTTCACTATGTTGTCCAGGCTGGGTCTCGAACTCCTGGCCTCAAGTGATCCGCCTGCCTTGGTCTCCCAAAGTGCTGGGATACAGGTGTGCACCACTGTGCCCAGCCTAACTCTTAACTCTTTCTCAGAACTGTGTGCCTGTGCTCAGGAGCTCCCCAGCCTGAACACAGTTTTCAGGACTCTGGCCTTAGAGGACATCCCAGATTTACCTCCTGGGGGAGGGCTGGACTGCAAGTAAGTTGGGGTGAGGAAGGGTGGGGTGGAATGGCGGTGGGGTGGGAGGAGGAGGGTCCCCTCCTGAGGGCCTTCCTATGCTCTCCAGGGCCACTGTCATTGCTGAAGCTTATTCTAAGTTCTGCCAGGTCTCAGAAGAGTGCAGAGAGGTAAGAATCTGTGTTCTCCGATGTTTCTCTTAGGAGAGCAGCCCCCCCACCCCTCTTAGTGACAGGGATATTGAAGCCAGTGAGGGTAAGAGATTTGCCTGATATATTTTCTTTCTCTTTTCTCTTTTTTCTTTCCTTCCTTCCTTCCTTTTCTTCCTTTTCTCCCTCTTTTTTTTAAATGAAGCCTTGCTCTGTCATCCAGGCTGGAGTGCAGTGGCACAATCTCCACCTCCTAGGTTCAAGTGATTTTCCCGCCTTAGCTTCCTGAGTAGCTGGGATTACAGGTGCATGCCACCATGCCCAGCTGATTTTTGTATTTTTAGTAGAGACAGGGTTTCACCATGTTGGTCAGGCTGGTCTTGAACTCCTGACTTTGTGATCCGCCCGCCTTGGCCTCCCAAAGTGCTGAGATTACAGGCATGAGCTACCGCGCCTGGCTTCTTTTCTCTTTTTTTTGAGACAGGGTCTTGCAATGTTGCCCAGTCTGGTCTCAAACTCCTGGGCTCAAGGGATCCTCCTGGCTTGGTCTCGCAAAGTGCTGAGATTCCACAGCAACCCAGCCAGCTTGCTATATTAATACATTCCAACTCCCAGCCCTGAAGCATTTTGCAAGGCATGATGAGGGAGACACAGATGCAGAGAAGATACTGTGATTCCCGTCCAAGAAATGTGGGCCCTGCAATGCCCACATTGCCCCATCATCCTAAGTGCCTCCCACATCCAAGAATAAGGTGAAAACATTCAGGGAATGCTAATGACTAATTCTAAGGCCTGGATGCACAGCAGATACCATCAGGACATATATGAGTATGGTCCAGGTCTTAGACGAGAGCAGCTGTAATGGGGCCCAGATAGCTAAGGAGATTTTGGAGACATCCAAAGAGGTGGTGGTGGAAAAGGGCATGGAGTGGGATCAAGGAAGAAATGTGAGGAAGCTGGGTTTAGAGCCCCAAGTGTTTTTGTTTTTTTTTTTCCGAGATGGAGTTTTGCTCCTGTTGCCCAGGCTGGAGTCCAATGGTGCAATCTGCAACCTCCGCCTCCCAGGTTCATGCAATTCTCTTGCCTCAGCCTTCCAAGTAGCTGGAATTACAGGCACGTGCCACCACGCCTGGCTAATTTTGTATTTTTAGAAGAGACTAGGTTTCACCATGTTGCCCAGGCTGGTCTCAAACTCCTGACCTCAGGTGATTCATCAGCCTCGGCCTCCCAAAGTGCTGGGATTACAGGCGTAAGCCACCAGGCCTGGCTGAGCCCCAAGGCCTCTGCATGGCAGAGAAGGGAGGAGTTTGATTATTATCATGTGGATAAGGGAGGATTGCTGATAATTTCCCAGTAGCTGAAGGAGGTATTTGTCAGTTTTCTTTGAGTTGTGAGCAATGGCCACAGAAGCCCAATTCAAGCTGGTAAAGCAAAACAAGGAATTTACTGGGCCATGTAATTGAAGTATTCAAAGCCTTAAGGCATCGCTGCATCCAGCTGACAGATAGCGTCATCATGCATGGGCTCTTTTTATTTTCTTCAAGTTGGATTCATCCTCTTTCAGGGTATTCTCTTGAGGTAGCTGAGACTTGCAGCTCCAGGCTCACACTCCAGCAACCTAACCTCCCCAGTGGAGAGAGTTTGCCAATTTCCGGGGAGTTGCAGGAGTGGTCCTTCAGAGCTGGTTCTCTTTGGTCACACCAGGTCACATGCCTGATCAGTCACTGTGTCTCTGATTGGCCAGGCTGGGGGTTGGGGTCTACTCCACTCAAACCCTAATGGATTGTGAGATGGATATGGTAGTCCCTCAAAGGAAAGGGAAGACAGGATTTCCAATTACCTTTTCCCACATTTTGTGTTACAGAACGGGCAGGATGGGGCTGGGAAGCCCACCGCCACGGATTTGGGCTCTGCCTTAGACATGGAGGCCTGACAGCTGTTGTCCTTTAGGGATCCTTTGCTCCACTGGGGCCTCAACAGAACTAAAGAAGAAAACAGACCCCTTCTCCAGCCACATGTACCAGCGGAAGGAAGGCAGGCCATTGTAGGAACCCAACATGCTTATTTCTCCTTCTCTTACTTCCCTCTCACAGATAAGTCTTACGAGAGGGGAAATTCCACCATCACCCACACTAAAAAGAAAAAAGCCCCAAAAGAAAAAAAAAAAAAAAAAAAAAAACAAAAACACCCAGGAATGGTAGTGAATGCCTATAGTCCCAGCTACTCAGGAGGCTGAAGGCAGGCCATTGTAGGAACCCAACATGCTTA